AGTTAGTGCACTTGGACAAAGGGCTAGACATATGCCAAGTAGGAAGTATTTGGAGACACATACTTATCTCACTCATTGCTGTGGATCTCATAACCCACCCTGCCACCCCACCATAAAAGCTTTCTTATTATCCACTCTGAGGAGGTGAATTGGAAGTTTAATAATTCTTAAGAGAAGCTTTTTCTTATTGACAAGGAAAAAGATCTAATGTGGACTAGGGATTTGGGAAACTTGTGCACATGTGCTGAGTTAGGAGGTTTGAGCTTATCTCTCCTACTATCTGGTTGGGTGTCAATTCCTCTGAAGCAATAATTGTGAAGGGCTGATTATACACATGACGTTATGGCTAAAAGCAGCCCACGGCCTAATGAGTCATGGGCTAAAGGACTGTGAAACTCCTAAGAGCTGTGAGCAGGAGCTATGGGAAGTGAGTGGCTAAACCAGGCCAGAGGCGCCGGAGATTTCCCATAGCAAGCATCATTTGAACTGTACCTTGAAAGAAGGAAAGAGGAAGCAGGGAAAAACAAACCAGATGAACGGAAGGGCATGAGGGAAGGCACAAAAGCATGACATACACAAAGTGATCAGGAAATGACAAGCCCTCTCTGACACTGCAGGATCTGCCACATGGAGGGTTGGAGAAGGGACGTCGTTGAACATGGGCTAAGGTCTCATCATGGCTCTTTGTGTTGGGAACAAATGTTTCTGAACTGCTAAGGCATGTGGATGACCACACCATGTCCTGTGGCGTAGTGTGGGATTCTGGGATTGTACCTAGACGTCGTCACATTATGGTTACAGGACAGAAAAAATGGAATAAGCCATCTGACTGAAATTAAATGGCAAACTGAGCAGGTTTATTGAGGTTAATGGGCTAAAATACAGAAGGGTGTGGAACTGAGTAGGGAAAGAACTAGAATGTGGTTTTCATAAACACTTTGGAGTAAAATTGTTTTGCACAAATAAATTCAGATCCAGTCAGAATCATCAGAGATGATTCAGTAGTTCAGGAAATACAAAAATAAATTCTTATCATGTTGTTCTATGTTGAAACCTTGTTAATTGGTCTTTAAATTAAAACTAATTAAATGGACACATCCCACTTCAAAAAAGGCAGAGTTAAGTGATGGGTGTTTCTTAAAGTGGGTTTAGCACTATTCTTGGACTGGAGGGTTAGGGGTGCCCCCTTATGAAAATAATTTCAATAAATACTTAAAAGGTGATTCACTGTTTAAGAGTAGAAGTTTACACATTTATATTTTTCATCTGAGGGCTCGGAAAATTATGTATTATACACATCTAGGTTAGTGCTCATTCATTCATCAACCATTTATACCAAGTCCTTACTATCCTTGGTACTTTGCTGGTAGGAGGAAAAGAATTTCTGGGTAGAATGCCATGGGGTTGCTTAAGAATCTCAATATGAAGACCAAACGTCCAAGCCACACTTTAAAAGTATTATGTGAGCATACGCAAATTTTAATTGTATTAAATATTTCCATATGTAAATATTGGAGAAGCTGGGGCAAAAAATCGCACAGTTCCCCGAAATAAAACTCTGAGAGCTATTTTTAGCTCTCCTTTCTTCCTTTATCTGCTCACAAACCACCCTACCCAACCCAACACGAATTCAGTCTGTCACCAATTCCTACGAAGGTTACCTCTGAAGTGTAATTGATTCGTTGTTTTTCTTCTCTTCTGTCTCTGCTTTGGGCCTATTGTCTAATGGGAAATTTGTTTACCTGATGAGACATATAAAGTCATGAATCTCCTTATTTGTAGACATTTCTGGATTTGTATAAAATAGCATTGCTCAGCACAATTTTACTCACTTTGTTCATCAAAGTACGTACTAAATGGCTTTTGATCTTTTTCAGTCACGTATCCAGATCAGTGGTTTTCAAAGTGTTCCCAAGATCCCTGACATCCATGAAACCTTTTCAGGGTGTCTGTGATGTGAAAATATTTTCATAGTAATGGTAAAACCTTATTTTCCTCGTTTACTTTCATTCTTTAAGTAGTAGAAAGTGGAGTGTTTTAGACGCTACAGGACATGGGATGTCCTATCTCTGATGGCTAAAGGAAAGTGTCCTTAGGCATTCTTGTGTTTTAAATTTGTCTAGAGTTTTACTTATAATATATTAAAAATAGATATAACCCACATCAGTGAAAATTCTCTGGGTTCCCAGTAGTTTTTAAGAGTGAAAAGGGGTTATGAGAGAAACTGTGAGGATTGCGGGCCTACGTGAATGCCTTCCATAACTGGGCTTCCTTCTTCTCATGCTTCTCTGATCTCACCTTTATTCTGATCATCCTCTACATGTCCTCCACACTGACAACAGAGTCATCTTCCTGAAACCCAGGTCTGGTAGTTGCTATGAGTTTAGAAACTTCCAACAGCTTCATGTTTTGTTTTTTCTTCTTCTTCACAGAATGACGCCTTAGACCAGCACTGAGATGCTGTCACAGTCTGGCCTAAACCATTTTTTCCAGTTTCAACTTTCACTACACATCATCTACACTATCCCCTAGACATACAGCTGAGGTTGGCCAAAGACAGCAATTCAATGAGTATCCTTTCTTATACCTTTCCAGTTAAGATGAACAATTCCAGAATCTATAGTCCCAAAGTATAGCGTTTACACCTTTATTTGTCACTTACTACAGTTTGGCTAGTGTGATAACTGTGTAGCTCTTCCTCCACTCCTCGAATGTGAGTTCCTTAGGGACAGGACCTTGTCTTTTCATTCTTGAAATACCTCAGACCTAGACAGTGCTAGGCTTATTACATTTAATAAAAATAACTTTGTTGAATACATGGTTGAACAAATTATTGCAATAACCAGATTCTATTGTCTACATATGTAAGCATTTTGTAATAGGTGTGAATTTAGTTATGCAATATTAAGACTGATTTTTGAACCTACTTCCCTGATGAGACATATAAGGCTATTCATCTCCTTAGTGGTAGACATTTCTGGACTTGTATAAAATAGCATTGCTCAGCGTGTTTTTTACCCACTTTGTTCATCAAAGTAGGTACTAAATGACTTCGATCTTTTCCAATCACATATCCAGACTCAAAGCATTGAGATTTGCTAGCACTGAGATTATTAAAAGGAATATGTCTTATGACTTTGGACTTAATTACAGTTCTGTTCCATCCCATTCAATTCAACAGGCACTTATTGAGCTAGCAGCTCTGTGGGCAGCTGCGGATATGGAGATGAACGATACAAGGCTCCCGCCTTTGAGAAGCTCACAGGCTAATCTAGAGAACAGCGAGATACACATGTAGACACAGCTCATCACGATAAGGGTAAAAATAGGGAACAAATGTGGACCAAAAAACGATGAATTCTGTCTCAGGGAGGTGGTGATACGACAGTAAGAAAAGGGTTTTCAGGGAACATGTGTCTGAAGCTAGGATTTTATGGAGGAATTGGAATTTCTCAGATGGATGAGGAGTGGGAGTATAAGGGGGAAGGTTTCCAGCAAGAAGACGTTTGTCTTGACGAAAGTGGTTTAGAGGAAACAGTTGGAGGCCTCGATCATGAAGGTCTCATTTTACATGTTTGGACCTGATCCTCTAAGTGCTAAAAAATTTTAAGTGAACAGTTCTAAAATTATCTGGAGTAGTAACATCAGGGTTGAATGAAGTGTATGCCTGCCAGGAGTACTAATTTGGAGGGCTTACACTCATTTGAGTATACAAGCTTTGATATATTTATTTTGAAAATCAATTTGTCTATTTTTTATTTTCTGTATTTTTGTTGTTGTTGTTGTTGTTGTTGTTGAGAAGGAGTCTCGCTCTGTCGCCCAGGCTGGAGTGCAGTGGTGGGATCTCAGCTCACTGCAAGCTCCGCCTCCCAGGTTCACGCCATTCTCCTGCCTCAGCTTCCCGATTGGCTGGGACTACAGGTGCCCGCCACCTCGCCCGGCTAGTTTTTTGTATTTTTTAGTAGAGACAGGGTTTCACCGTGTTAGCCAGTATGGTCTCGATCTCCTGACCTCGTGATCCGCCCGTCTCGGCCTCCCAAAGTGCTGGGATTACAGGCTTGAGCCACCGCGCCCGGCCGATGTTTTTCTTATGACTGTACTGGGGTTATGGGTTTTTGGGAGGAAGACCACAGATGTGGAGTACCATTCTCATCAAATCATATCCACGGTACAGACTACCAAATGACTTGGCACTGTTGGTATTGACCTTGATCACTTGGCAGAGGGGCCGTTGGTCAGGTTTCTCCACTGTGGAGTTACCCTACACCCTCTTTCCACACTCTGCTCTTTGGAAAGCAGTCACTATGGGCAGCCCACATTTAGGTAAGGAGTTTGCTTCACCTCCTTGATAGTAGAGTGTCTATATAAATTACTTTGAATTCATTTGCATGGGAGATTTGTCTCTTCTCCTTCATTTATTTATTTATCACTGGTGATTTTTTTACAGTTTCCATGAATCATGTACTCAAAAGGCATATTCACTGAGGGCTTACTATAAGAAGGCATTAGTAATACATTGTTACTGAGCAATATTTTGTTTTATTTTTTTCAGAGACAATTCACTTAAAAATGAAGAATTTGGATTTCTTGTCCCACCTCCGACACTACTCTACTAGGAGGCTTCAGACAATTAATTTCACACCTAAGCCTCAGTTTCCTCTTCTGGAAAATTAGATGATGGAAAGGAATGAATTCTGACATTTTTTCCAGGATTGAAATTGTAGGGTTATATAATATATTCATAGAATAGGCTTCAAATTGTCTACGAAAGGAAATTATTAATATCTGTAGTGGGCAGGCCCAACTCAGTGAAATCTGCATTTCAAATCTTCCTTCTCATTGCCTTAGGAAATGTATATTTTGTCTGCCATATTATTTTCTTATGACTCAGAGTTAAAATATATATACCCAGTGAAAATATCAAGTGGATGAAGTTAACCTTGTTAGTAGCATATAACATTTTATGACAAAGAAAAAAATGCCAGACCATCTGCAAATGACTGTTTTATGGATTTAATAGAAACCACTACTTAGGGAAAAAGCACCATGGAACAAAAACAAAACAAAGGAATTCGAAATCTGTTCTAACACCAAATGGGGGTGATATGGTCATGAGAAGGCTCACATGGACTCTTCCTCACTGCCATCTCTGTGGGGAAAAAGAAATATGAAAAAAGTGAAAAAAGCAGAGGAAACCTGGGGGATGAAGAGCATTGTTTAAACTTGAGAGAAAAACGTACAAGCATTCATTTCTTGTTTCTTCTGATGCTCCTCTTTGGCCTAAAGGAAGGAGGCCCCGAGGAGGAGGTCTCAGTGTCGAGTGCCAGTTGGCACTTAGCTTTACTTTACGGAAAAGGCAAAGTAACTTTGTTTCTACTCTTACCCTTTGCAAACTTCATCAGGCTTTTCTGGGCAGCTGGAGTCTCTCTTTTCACTGATGAATGTCTTTTAATGCATTTCTTGCAAATAGCATTCAGTGGATGTTCTTGCCAGTGGTTTCTGGGAAGATTTAATCTAGTCAACTCGATAGTTGTCAAGGCAAATTATAGTTCAATATAATTCAAAGAAAGAGCACCATGACAGTCCCTGCCTCCACCCCGCCTTTCCGTTGCCAGCTGTCCCACCTTGGGCAGGTCAGTTACCCTCCCTTGGCTGCGGTTGCCTCTGTGGTAACATTTTTCCTGCCTGTTCTGAAAAGAACGACACAGATGACCTCTTGAGGTCCCTTCTATGCCTGTGTTTCCTGGGGAACAGGTCCAAAGTAGCAAAAGTCAGGGCCCAGGTGATGCAGCCAGTGTCAAATTGTCACAAAGTGCCTGTGACATGCAAAGTGCTTTACTGTGCATTATTGAGGAGAGGTAAGTAAAATAGAGTCTCCAGGAACTTACACCTTGGTAAAAAATAAACAGTAACTCAGAGCAGCCTAGAAGAGGGCTGTGGTAGAAGGACAGGCACTCAGGGAGCTCAGAAAGCCTTTCTGACCCCTCCCCTGAAGGCACAGCCTCTCTGCTCTGGCTGGAAGGGGGTTGGAAGGGAAGGAAGGATAGGGGAGAAAGCAAGGAAGGAGATCGAGCTGGGAGGAGCACTGAAGGGTGCGTATTTTTTCCATCTAGCAACGATTGTGGGGGCCCAGAAAAGTGACTCCAATGCCCTACAGCAGGGTAGAAACTGGAGGTCAGGCTTTTCTCAGCCTTGTTTTTGGCTCAGAACTGAAGTTGCAGGAGGAAGGCTGAAGACAAGGGGCTGTCGCCATCAGACCAGGGAAAGTCCCTGCACGTCAGGCTTTGTCACGATCACCAACCTCTCCCAGACACAGCCAGCAAATGGGTGGTTCCCCAACATGTGGGCATGAGAAGAAAAGACCTTCTGTGCTAATGCGGACCAAATTCCCCCACGAGTCTGTGTGGGAGGCGGGCGGGTGTGAATGACAGAGAGAAAAGAGGCTGTCACTGCTGGGGGCTGTGAGGTAAGGCGCATGTCCTCTCTAGGTGGAGTAGGAGGTGAGCGAATGGGGAGGACCCCAATTCTAAGGCATCCGCTCAGGGCTGGGTGGTTCACATGGCAACGAATACATGTAATTCTCATGAGGTAACATTCCCATTGGATTGATGAAGAAACATGAGGTTCTTGGGCCCTAAATAATTTAGTTCCCAGAGTTAATGGCAAAACCAGGGATTAAAACAAGATCAGTCCAAACCCACAGCCCAAGCCTTTTCTACTGCTCTCCACTGCCTTCTGTGATGGTCGCCTCCATGTTGTTTGAGGGACGCGTCAGCCCTCTCACTCGTTCAAGGGATGGGGCGGTGTGTGTCTCCCATCTATCCACCTGATGTGCAGTCGGCAATTCCATCATGTGACATTCATTTTTCAAGGGTGGCAGAAATAATCTCTCTTTAACTAGTCCCTTTTTTAACGTGGAAAGACCCCCCGCCCCCGCCCCTACTTTTCCTGCCTCCAGCTGAGGCAGAAGTTGTACTTGCAATCTCTGCTTTCCCTCTCACCCAGTCCCCTGCAATCTTCCTTTCTATCTGGACCTGGCGAAAATGGTTTCTGAATAGTAGGGTAGCAAGAAGGGCCACCTGCCATCAATGAGGTGGTGACCAGAGACTAAACCATCAATATTCACAAGCTCATTCACAGAGTGGCTTCCAGAAGCAGGCCCCTTGGGGCACTCAAAGAGGGCCAGAAATTCATCCTGAAGGAGAGGGGAGCTCCCATTATGCACATTCATACTAAGCTCAGCAAAGCTTCCAGGCCAAAGGAATGAGGAATGTCCCATGCCATGTGTGGTTCAGAAATGAGCCAAACAAGTTCTGTACATTGGTTACGTATGCACCTGTTGCCACTTTCAGAAATCTACAGTCAGTGTAAATAAGAACTGAGTGCTGATTGTCAAATAAGTTATACAGCCTCAAAAAAAAAAAAAAAAAAAAAAAAAAAAAAAAAAGAAAAGAAAAAAAGAAAAGAAAAAGAAATAATCCTAAGGGAATGACGCATCAATGTGATCACTCATTTTGCTGAATGTCATCTGTTTCCTCCCACCCCTTCCTGGACCCAGTATCAAGAACTGTGATTGTTCTGAGGTTTTGTCTTTCCTACAAGTTAATGAATTAGACTGTTATAGTTGTGTGGTTAATGGCAGAAGACATGAAACTTCAGGGTGAGAGACAAAAGACTGTATTACTCATTGCACAGTAGATAGTGTAAGCATCACTTTGCTTGTGTGAGTTCCCTTGTCCCCAAGTCCCAGGGGGGTAATGTGCAGGGTCCAGATAGATGCTACACAGATAGTGGGTTTGTGTTCAACTGAGCAATAGTGAGGACCCCATGATTTTGTAGCAAGCAGTAAGTAAGAAAAATGCTTTCACTTAGATTGAGACTTTACTTCACTCCTCAAAGTTGCTCACTGAAATACACCCCTCAGAAAGGATTTGGGTAGGCTAGGTGTGGTGGCTCATGCCTGTAATCCCAGCACTGAGGAAGGCTGAGGCGGGCAGATGGCTTGAGGTCAGGAGTTCGAGACCAGTCTGGCCAACATGGTGAAACCCCGTCTCTACTAAAAATACAAAAATTAGCTGGGCTTGATGGCACACGCTTGTAATTCCAGCTACTTAGGAGGCTGAGGCAGGAGAATCGCATGAACGGGAAGGTGGAAGTTGCAGTGAGCTGAGATGGCGCCACTACATTGCAGCCAGGGCGACAGAGCGAGTGAGACTCCGTCTCAAAAAAACAAAACAAAACAAAAATGGAAAGATCTGGATCAAGACAATTTAGGACCTTTCTGTGTTCTTGACTAGATCCTTTTCACTTCGGAAGGGAGGCTTGTTGGACCCTTCCCATCTTGTTAGTTACTGAGTCTGAGTTGACCCAGTGCCAGATGGTAATACCACAAGACCTCCAGCTTCAACAAGTGCTCAGTAGGAGGTTAATAGCTACTTTTTTGTTTTTAAAAAGCCATGTTCTTAGTGACTTTCTTTTTCCCTTCTTCTGACCATCTGGGAGGGGACAGTGAGGCAGGTGTCCAGGTGGTGGTGGGGTGATGTCCCGTTGGCACCTTTCTATATGCTGCCGATTCTGAAAGGGAGAATCCCTCTGATAGTTTTGAGGGATGGAGAACTGCAAGCAGGTAACATATCCATTCCCTATACATTCAGATGTGGAAGCCACAACAATACATTGAATCGACCCAAGGGACCTCACACCCAGTCACTTTAATTTCACTTCCCCACTGCAAGCCCTGTCCAGACTCTACGAGTTGAAACTGGCACTGTTTTCCCCTGCAGGAGTATGGCCAAAGGAGCATGTGAGTTAGTGGCTACAGCTACAGTTGCTGGGAGATCAGTGCTAACCCGTCTGGGAGAACAAGGGGTGCAGGGTGGAGGGGAGGCTGGGTGGCCTCCTTAATGGGGTTGTTTCTTTCTCCCATGAGTCCTTGCTCCAAGATTAGTGCCTGCCGACTGGCTCTGCTTCCTCCCCCAAGCACCTCTGGGCATTTGATGGGCGCTTGGGGTCACAGGTCCCAGTTTTTCTGTGCCCCTGCATGTTGCCACAGTTCTTAGTACCTTTGGCCTCCACTGTACCCTGTATACTATCCCTGTCCCTGGCCAAGTTGGGCTGTGGCAGAGGCCAGGCACGTGAGCATGGCTAGCTTTGCTCTGTCTGGCAAGGCCATGCATCCACTTTTCTTCTTGATCAGCTGCTTGCCTGTGGCTCAGAAAACAAACTTCCACTGTTTTTTATTTACCCAGGGGTCTATAACAAGAGGCAATGTCCTCATTGCCTTTTTTTTTTTTTTTTTTCACATTGAGGACTCCTTGACGCAGCTGTCTCAGCCACATTGCCCTTCATGGGGCCGTGGGGCTTGCTGTCCCATTGTCATGGTATCATCTCTTCCACTATCTGCCTGGAAGAGAGTGAGTGAGCCATGGGGTCATGGGGGGGGGGGGTTGTTTCAATCTCACTTCTCACCCCGTCTTCAGTTACATGGTGATCATGGGAGACTCTTACTCCCTCACCTGCCTACTGCTTGGATGGAAGTATCCACACTTTCAGCCCTACGGAGTCCTCTCATATCCCTGAATCCAGCTCATGGGGTCTGGATTGTCCTCTTCTAGAAAGTCATGACTCTGTCAGCATCTCATCCTCATTGCCATCCAGCTGAGATTAGGGCCGTGTGTGGATGCGGATTGTCAATGGGGAAAATAAAGAGAAGAAGCCAAGTCAGGAAGGGCAGGCACTTTGGAGGGGGTGTAACTGCTGGCCCTACTTTGAGCTGCACAGAGACATTGATATATGGGAATAGAATTGAAACACTGAAGATGGACGTAAGAATCAGGAGTAGTCATTTGTCTAAATGCAATTCTCTTTCATCTTCCCTTGATCAAAATTTACCTTATTCCTGTAAGAGGATGCCCTAAATTAACTGTCTTATTAGGTTCTTTCATTGACAAACACAGTAGATGATATCCTCATTTGGAGATCATTTATTGAATCGTTAACTTAAAAGTAAACCACGGTCTCACTATGTACCAGAGGCTATGGTAGGCCCTAAGGATACAAGGAGCTTAGAGTCTATGAGGAGAGAGAACCAAGAAAAGATGCAGAGATGAGTCAGGCTACTGCAGGCTTCATCCCCACCCAATCCATACTCCTGGAAAGTAGCCACAGTCAGACCAACCTCTGTGATGGAGATGGGGTTGAAACTGGAGTGTCAGGCAAATGATTATTCTCCTAATCACATCTTATTCCGCTTGGGGTGTATTACACAGTGCTTACAATGAACTTAAAAACACAGTTCCCTATAATGAAATTTGTAGGAGTCATTCTTATTTATCTTCCTATTCAGGGAGTCAAAGGCAGTGTTTATTGTTTGATGGAAAAATAGGGAGGTATCTTTAACCACAGGCAAAATAAAAAGCAATTATAGAAATTCCGAGGCTCATGAAATAAAAACATTCCACAACATTGCTTGTCCTCCACACCGAGAAATCAAGTTTGAAAACTGACGTAAATGTCGGGAATCCTGCTTTGATGGGCCCGAGTTCTTCGCAGTGAGGTTAATGAGTGAGAGGCAGTGATGACAAATAAACATATCTAAGCTGACAGTAAAGAGAGGGTGACGGAATCCCTCTGACTGGCAACAGGCACGTTTGTAAACTCAGATTGGTCATGGAGGATAAGATGGCAGATTTGGTCCAGAATAATCACTTCCAAAAGAA